ATACGTTTCCGACGCAATTAGCGAATAAGGTAATCACTGACGTGTGTCGGATCCACGAAACTGATATTTGTCATCGTTGTCGATGTCTTGCTCGCATAGTGTCCCGAAGGCGCAACACAACGCGGATCGCTTAAAGCTAATGACTCTTCCGTATCGCGTGATGAATTTTAATTAGATTTATAATTACGGGGCAGCCCGCGATCTCTTTCCGATGAGACGAACAAAAGATAAAACGACGATGGGATGCCCGGAACATCGATCATTTGGACCATCATTCTTCCCTTTGTTGCTTCTGGCGTTAATATTCTTTTCCCGAAAACGAAAAGAACAAAATCCTAATTTCATCGGATATCCTCGCGTATGAGGAGCCAGCTTCCAGAGAATAAAGCTCCAGGTACTCCGGGGAGAATAAAATTTCAGAACTATCCTGACCCTCGATTTAGTCTGCGAAGGAGGAAGCGGAACGGTGGAATCCCCTTTAATCCATCTGCTCGACATCGTTGTGCGCTAGGTAAGTCGTAGGTTTTCGAAGGTGGCAACCGACTAGCGGAATCCAGCGTCAGGTTCGTCTGGAATTCAGCCGCCCTCGATCGATTATCGAACTGGTCCCCGAAGAACCTCTAACGTAATCTCGTTTGTACTCGGACAAACGTTGCATAGAATCGCAATCGATAAAGTTTAAGGAAGTAATATTTCTTTCAATCCGACTAAATAGAATCGAGCTTTTATCTCAGATATTTTCTACCATAAATTCTTACTATCGTCATTCTTGATCGAGAATTAGATGAACACTAAGGTCTCTAAAACCTGAATGTTAACACATTGCGTATCGGCTAATTTTCGGAAAACTGAATTGTGATGGCAATTTTCACTGAGGTCAACTTATATATACATAGAAAAACTCAGATATATTGTTATGTAATATATTTTAAATAGATAATCAATTCGAACTAAATTTTATATGTTCTCAATGCTGTGGTAATCAGCGAAGTCGCGTAGCTAAGTGTCTTTACATAAAAACGAGATTTCTCGTTACCGGTGCGCGACGTGTTAAGATTAAAGATTACAGGAAAATTCAATCTGCGATACACATAATACTCCCGTCAGAACAACTTGAATGGCGTTCACGGTGAACACGATGAAACCGTTCCCGCGCGGCGAATAATTTTCCCGGATCGAATATTTATCGTCATCCGAGAAGAATAGAGCCCCGCGGGCATTTCATTTCTTATCCGAAATGAAATCTGTCCAACTCTGCATCGCCAGAAATCATCTGAAAAGTCATTGTCCACTGTTGCTCGGAACAAGAACAGTGTTCACCGCGGCAATAATTCACCTTCTTCGGCCGTAGCTCGCCGGCGGAATTGCAATTTCCAGCAACGCGTTATTTCCAACCGCGTGTTGCCCCTACCCCCCCTTTCCCCGGCCTTTCAACCCCTCGACGAAGGACGGCCGTGTCGCGGCGGCTAAAGTGAACTTCCCGACTGAACTGGGATATCCGTTATGATCCGTATCCGGCCGCGGGGGGTGTCGCAAAGCGGGAGCAGCGGAAAAAACGGGGGAAAAGTACGGGATGAAGTGTGGAGTTGCGAGCGTGACGCGGGCGGAGGGATGATGCGTGCGCGTATACAATTTACCGCGGAGGGTCGCGTGAAAAGCCGGCGACAAGCCGAGTGGAGAGGACACGGAAGAGCTCAGTCGTTCCGCGTGAAATTTACCTCGGCTGATATCGTAATAAATATTAGGTTCTCGGCAATTTTCTTCGTCCCGCCGTGAACCGAGTTGTCCCGGTCGGCGAAATGAAGAGGGAGGAGTCGGTAAAAATCGAATGAGTGCCAAGACGGCGAGCGCTCCGCGGCGGAGGGGGACGAAATAGGAAATAAGATGGCGCGAGGCTCGATGGCGGCTTTCTGAGATAACGGTGATTATTGTTATAGAGATGAACGTGGGGTTCGTTGCTTCGAGGAGAGATTAAATTGATTAAATTTAGGTTTATCGATGAAATTTAGGTTTAGGTTTATTGATCAACCGCTTGTCCCACAGATTTTTGCGAAGAACGCTTCTTTCCTGTCAATTTGGAAACTGAATGACGCTTTTCTATTACAAAAATAAATTTTAAATATTGTCGTTATATTTTTCCAGTCTTAGGGTGACAAAAATAAAAATGAATAATTAGGAGGGAAAGAAGGGACTCAAACGGTTAAATATCTTATGGTGTGTTGAACCTGAAATCTGAGTTTTTCGGAAATAATCAATTGTTTTTGGTATTCTAAATTTGCGAGTTTTGTATGTTTCTATACGTGTGTTTCGAATATATTAAATAGGGAAACATGCAAGAATGTTAATTTTTAAACACACTAACTATGGAAACGTGGATGAACGCATTACGACGGAAAAAGAGGTCACCGTTAGTAATCCCGTTAACCGAATTGCGTGCAAATAAACCGCGTTAATTTATATATTGACATCCCTCGCGGCTCAGTAGCGAGCACACAGGGAGCGTCAAAGCTAGGGGGTCGGATGCGTGACATTGCCGTTGGCACATGTATAAATTAACGCGCCGCGCAAGGCGCAGAAGTGTCGCGCCACACCGACGTAAACCGGTGAACCGACGAGCAAGCGCGAGGCCATGAAAAATGCAGAAATATATAGAGCGGGTAAAAATCAAACTATCCGGTAAGTTCGAGCACGCTTTTGCCGAGTCCTAAGTGTATTGAAGTTGGGGTTGCGACTTGATAACTGGTTTTCAATCGTTGTCGATGCGAGATATAAAATACAATGATTTATTTGTTTCATTTAAATGAGACGTACCTTCGCGCTTTAATTTGTTTTGAAATATCAACGTCAGTCTCCCTGTGTGTGGAGTATTTTGAATTTAGTGTATAGGGTGTTTTCGATGCTACACGAGAAATAATTCGAAAACGTAGAAGAAAATTTAGATATTCATAATAGCATGATATATATGCTATTATAATATATATTATAATATTTATAATTCTATAATATATATTATAATATTTATAATAGTACAATATATATTACAATATTTATAATAGTGCAATATATATTACAATATTTATAATAGTATAATATATATTACAATATTTATAATAGTGATATTTATAATAAATAGAAGTAATAAGTCACGAACAGTCACAACACCTAATTTCCATTCAATCCTACAGACACCGAAAAAAAGAACGATCAGACCTAATTGCCTCAATACATAAATAATAACATAGAACCATATTGCTCTACACGTCCCACTTAGTTCTTCCCATACAATAACTCCTTCCCACTCGCAGCACAATTCCATAAACGCCCCGTACATTTCCAAGTGCATATATCGATACGTTCGGCTGCACGTCCTAATCTTCGTGTTCCCATATATACACGACATGAATCAACAGCGTGTATCGTGATGCACCGGACGTAACACACGACGGAACACCATGCATCACGTGTGATGCACGAGACAGCGAACGCGTTAAAACGCACGCGCGTGCGGTTTGCCCCGAGAAAAAGACACTGGACACGTCAACGGGATAGCGTGTCGGTGAACGTCTATAACGATTTTCACGGTAAACATTTGCCCATAGCTCAGGCTTGCTGCTGCGGTTCAAGTTAAATTGCCTTCAAAATTGCATGCCCCTGGTGGCGCTGCGTTATAATGGTAACCCGGCCGCCGCCGCCGCCGCCGACTCGGATCGCCCGCATAAATTCCATCCGGGCGAGAGCCTCGCCAGGACTCGTAGCTGCCGCTGCGCGTGCCGGTAAATTGACCGATGATAATGATAAACAGGAAGTTTTGCGCGCAGCTATCGGCGATCACGGTGACGGGATCGGAATTTCGCGCGGCCGCTCCCGACCCCGCCATTTTGTTACCGTTACCCGTAGGCTGCTCCGAAATTCCACGGTTCTCTTTGATCCGAGTGAGTTCAGTGATCGGGATTCGTTCAACTTTTGCATATTGATCTCGCGACTGCAGTAAATTGTTGAAATTTGGGCGAAGGTATGTAGAAAAAATACAATTTTACTTCTGTAGCCACAGAATTAGCGAGTATAGTCTAGCTTTTAACAGTATAGATTAATTAGTTGCCATTGATTTGATTTAACCTGTGATCAACTGGAAATTTTGATGAGCTTCTATGTATAGTTGTTCGTCGACGTATAAAGTTCAAGGTTTTTTTAAGCTGGTACTCGTGAGTGCTGTTTTTCGGAAGGTTTTTCTCTGTAAATGAAAGTCCCGGAGATTGATTGGCATTAATCGCGGGAAACGAAGTTGAGATGGAATCGATACGTGACGGTATCGCTCTCGGTCCGGAGGATATGAAATATTTTCACGAGTGCGAGGTCTGAGCTTATCCTCTGACGGATTTCAGAAATTACGTCATTTTTCTGTATCAGTTACGGAACAGCGAAAGAAGGAGAATGACGAAGAACTTCTACCGGCGGCACCTTGAACCAGCTGAACTCTCCTCCGGTGAATGATGACCCGCGTAAAGTACGTCGAGGATTTTTCCAAATTTCCCTCGCGGAAAGTCCAATTTCTCACTTCTAATAACGCGAAATGCTCGGACGAGGATAATCAATACTTAATTGGACTTTTTCTGAATTTAATGTCCCAAGCTACTCGTCTAATAAGTCACATTTATTACGACTGCTCCGAGAAAAGTAGCTGTCGCTTTGTACTTCCTAAAGAATTACGAAAGAGACAATCGTTAGAAAAACTTATCCTTTGTATTATAAAAACTAAATAAAATACTGTAATATAATTGCGAATAATTTCAGTTTCAGTTCGAAAGTGTGCATCGGAGTAAACCGATGTGTACGATCAGTTTTTGGTGTGCACAGTAAGTGAATATGCGTCCAGTACTTACAAGGAAAAGAACATTGCTGATTTATACAATTTCTTTTTCAATCAGAACTAAAAATTTAGATGATGATTAACTTACCTAACTCGAGGGAGTCTTGTGACACTTAGTTTTCTATCTTTCCAGAGCCTACCGCAAACACCAGCTGGCGGTGTCGGTGGAAAAGGAAACGGAAGTGCTGGCGGTGGTTCTGGCATGGTAAATGGTTCCGGTGCCGATCTTCAAGATATACGTGACGGCGCTGCCATTAACACGGAACACGTGAGTACCTTAACATAAACGCTTCCTTCCCTATCGTTACTTAATTACAACCTGCATTTAGTGTTATTAAATAATACTAAAATGATTTACGACTCTGTCCAATGTAAATAAATTGTCTGAACTCTTAGAAGAATATTGTAGCATATTTTAGTTCAATGAAATTATAAGACGTACTTTTAAAAGAATTCAATAAAAATTGATTGTTACCAATAAACCGAATTCATTTGAAATTATTTTATCGATGGAACAGTTCTAATTCACCTCGATCCCGTGTAATTGCCGAGACTTCTCCGTCTGTGCACATATGGATCTTTTTTCCGTCCTGCCGCAGTGTCTGCTATCCGGCGATATAAAGGTGGCCGCGAAATAAGGCGAAAGAAAGCAAACAATGCCCCCCGGCACACTGAATGACTCACTTCGTTGCTTTCAATGCGAAACTTTCCTCGTGGAGGCACTTTTAAAAGAAGTTCCGAAGAACAGTAACGGCAATCATTGCCGAAGGAATGGCCGATTTGTTCCTGTCCCCTCGGTCGAGAACTCGCCGCCATTTTCCTTTTTTTCCCAACCGTCGTCCGACCGCGTTCCAGCCGGGAACTCGACGAAATTTTTATCCCGCAACTCGACCGAGCAAGTTGCTCGATACCGCGCAGCTCGCCGCGGAATTAAAGATGAATCAATTTCACGGGCGAACGAGAATTTACATATCGAAGTGCGCGGAACAAAATGACAACTACCGTCGCTTTATCATTTATAGGGAGTTCGTAAGCTTTATTCCGCCTCGGTTGCAACGAATGCAACGTGAACGGCAAACACTGTGCTTCGTAAACGATAATGGATGTATTAATTAAGGAATAGTAAATAATATTAAATAAGCTGCGTTCTTAATAAAACATCAGCCTACCGAATCATTTTCAAACATGTTAATCGACATTATACAATATAAATACCGAACGAAGCGCACACAAAGAGAAGATAATTCGCCATTAATTACCAGATCGATGCAACAATAAAATGCTACGAACCCGAACGGAACGATACAACATTACCTCGGCACGTCCGATATTCCGCGTACCAATATCCTGCGCGCGGGCAGAATTAACGAAGACAGAGAAACTGAAGCGGAAGGCAACGAGCATATCGAACGATTATTAAAACAGAAAATCAGAAAGGACTTCCCATCGGGCAACACTGGCCACCCCGAAACTTATTACAATCCCGGCCCGATACCGCGTTCGGGTTCCACCGCGGTGGCAAAACAGTCCGCAGACCATCGGTTCGATCAACAGGATTAAAAAAGCCCGGAAGACAGTTCAATCGGAAATCGGCTGGACGTAGCCCGGAATCCCAGGAATTAAGCGATTACTTCCGAAGTTAACTATTGTTCCAGCCGGTCCATCAATCGGACCGACCTCCTACCATCCCGCCAACCCCCTATCCCGACCGTTCCCCAGCCCACGGCTCGATCCTCCCTTCCGATTTTCGCGCGTTGATCCATTCGCACGGAATTAAAACCTTTATCTACGTTCCTCCGCCTGCTTCGTCGAGCCTCGACGGATGGGAATGAGCCTCGAACGGAGAGCTAGAAAGAGCGAAGCCGGCTAGGAACGGTTTAGAGCCCGATCGAGAGAGCATCGCTCGCGGAATATCCGCGATCGTTTGTTTCGAAACGTTCGGCGCCTCCCATCTTCGCCGTTCGGTCTGATAAGCGACGGCAATTTTTGCGTCATCTACCCCTTTACGGTTCCCTAGCCATCAGGCATTCTTTCGCCACCCGGAATCGGTCTACCCTGCTTTCCGTTCGTTGCGTTTCCATACCCTTCGACTGATCATCCTGTTTACTCCCGTCCTTTACTGCCTCCGCTCTACCCTCTCCTCCGTCGGGTTGACTGATTAGCCTCCCTCTGATTCATCCCCTGATTTGCGAAGATTGAAATATTCCCTTGGAACGTTCTCACTGATTTCTCTTCTTCGCCGCCGGTTGTTTTATGGATTTATCGATTCTCTCGGCTATCGATTGGTTCTTGATTGTTAGATATTCTTACTGTTCTAATAGGAATATTTTTGTTTTAAGCTTGTGAGTCGCTTATTTTGGTGAAACTTCAGTAAGTAGTATGTATTTATTGTAATTATGTGAATAATAATTTTGTGTATATTATAATTAATGTAATGAGGTGTTAATGGAAATAATTGTTTTATTTTTTAAGGAACATAGGAATAGTTTATCGAATAAGATACAAGTAAATAGAATTAATAAATTCTCTTTTCTAAAGCCAACGCGACTCTCTCCAAAAACTCTCGTCATCCGCACTTAAAAATCATTCTCTCCAACAAGCATCCTTCTCACTCGCACTTCCAACGAACTCTCAACCACACCCTACTCTTACCACCACACACTCATCATCCTCGCTTACGCATCGCTCGGGAAAACTCGTCAACCCTTGGGCTGGTCTTCATCAGTCCCTTTCTCTTTTATGGCCCTGTTCTTGTCTTTCGGAATAGTTTCACTGCTCTAAATCCACGATACTACAGTAATAATATAGTAATTTTATGTCAAATGTAAATAACAAATACGATTTCAAATTAGATCGATTTTGTTCGATATCTAGACAACACGCGAAGATTAGATTAACACGTTGCTGTAATTTCCACTCTCCCATTTGGCGGCTGAATTCTCAAAATTGATAAAAATATTGAAATGATCAATAAGTAAATTAATTCTCAACTACACGGCAATGTTTTCTAATTACCAGACCACTTGACGAGCCACATATTTGATCTCTCCTTAATCTCTCTTGTTAATTAACCCTAATCGGACCACGATGCGATTTTGAGTCACATTAGAACTTTTTACTTAAATTTTTTCATTATCATCGCATTTCCAGAAGTTTCTTTGGGCTTTTAGAATTTGGACCCTACAAACAAAGACAATAACATTTTAATCATTCCTTTTATTCTCATAAGTGACTCAGAGTCACGTCATGGTATGATTCGTTATAAAAACACGTGGCACGATTAGTTAATTCCGTTTCTTCGAGCTGGCCATTTTCGCGGTCGATCCTCCGGATCAACCTTTTTTCGTTCCCCGACATCGTAGCTGCTCCTTTATTTATTCGTCCATATTTCTCTGTCGATTTCTTACGTGCTAACGAAGTTTCGCCTTCTCTCTCGTTCGTTCCGCCACTTTATCACTTCGTGTACCGCGTTTCCATCTGTCGTTCCTCGTTCGCCATGTGGTTTTTCCACTCCCTTTTCGATTGAGCGAAGCCTCTTCTCCCAATTTTCGGCGTCTGGCTATCGATTCACATGAGACAGCAGAAAGAGCCCAGCTTCGTCAATTCCCGCGCTGGTTATATGGATTCTATAATCTGGAGGCCGGGTATAGGGGCAGAGAAAAATGAGAGGGACACCGAATATTTCATCTTTGCCCGGGAACTTTCTGTCAGTCGTTTCAACGGCGAGATTTGCATAAAATTTAATAAATATGCATATTATACTGGTCACATTGGTCAAAAGAAAATCTGATGAACGTCGACACTTTTTTTCTGTTCGCGATAAACAATCGATGTTCAAACTCGAAACCACCGATGAACCAATCATCGAAAGCCGACCATTTGATTGGCCTGTCGATTTTTACGTGGTAACATATTTAAACCGGCCACATTTTTCATAAAATGGCTTTGTTGCTTAATTTATTTATGAATTATCGTTGAATTAGTTTCAAACGACTCTGAGTCACCATTCGATTTGACACTGCAAAATTATGAAGTGAATATTTAGTATTTTAAATGAAACTTTCTATTGTAATGTGAAATATTCAGATAAAATAGCTTTGTTGCTTAATTTATCTGTGAATTATCGTTGAATTAGTTTCAAACGATGTCGACTATATCTCCTTGGAAAATGTTGAATATTTCCAGGCAAAAACTTTCGATTGCAAAGGATTAGAAGACTCTCGGTATATCTTGAATTTGCCACCAGCTTGACGAGACTCGACGGTGTTCCTCGGTTTTCTTTTTACGCCGGAGGTGAAGGATTACGCTCAACAATCACGACAATTGCTTGATAAGTAAATCGTCAACGGTGCACGCGCAAGGCGGAGAAATTGCTGGCGCAAGTTCGCGGCTCCCGAATGTTCTCAGGAATTCTCCCATTAAGGAATTAGTGAGCGTGTTTAACAAGGGGAAGTAGGGTGCAACTTCACAGTCAGCACGGTTTCCGGCTAACTGCCGTGCCCAGATAAGTCGGAATGCAGGAAACTCCTATAGAGATATGGTTAAGTTCAACGCGACTCAGTTTCCGCGCGGTTGAAATTATCCAATCGTCACTACACGATGATTTATTAGCGCCTCCACGGCCAACCGAAGCATCTCCGGCAAGTTTAAAATAAACCAATATCCAAACTACATAAAAAGATAAGTAACCCTCGAGCGATATCATTCGTTGCAACTTTTCCTGTACTGGATTCATACGTAACACTCAAAAGTGTACGTGCGATTGATTCTGTTAACAAAAGAGGAAAGAGAGAAAAGCAGGAAAAATTGCGAGAAAAAATTGTCAATGACATCTGCCGAGTGATCTAAACTCTCGAACATTTCAACAAAAAAGACCATGTAGACACTTAGCCATGCAACTTCGCTAATTACCACAGCATTGAAAAAATATAAAATCTAATTCGAATTGGTTACCTATTTAAAATATATTATAAGTTGACCTCAGTGAAAATTGCCATCGCAATTCAGTTTTCTGAAAATTAGCCGGTACGCAATGCGTTGAGCTGTAATCGAATGAACCAACGTCGACGCGAACCTCAAAGTGAGAAACCAAGAGCACTTCGGACCGCAAAGGGTTAATCCTCCCCAACGCCAGATACATAATACGAAAACAGAGACAAAGAGAAAACAAACGGCGACGCAGCTGCCGAAAACGCAGGCGGGCAATCTTCCGAGCAATTATCCGCGAATGCGGGCGGATTTTTAAACGAGGATATTACGTCGTAAAGC